AGTGCAACTATAGCATTATGAAAAGGTGTGCAACATGGAGTCATTCTGCATATATTTAACCTTAGTTGACACAATTTCAGGTACATTAGTAAAAGAAAAATATCTTTGTTGTTTTAGGTTGCCGTGAACAATCATCCGCAATGATTATGATTGTCCACCTAAGAAATTCTGTCTCACTGGTCATGGGTTTGGTGGATCCATGTGTTGCATCTCTGACCTTATGTTTGGCACTTGTTTCCAGAGATGGAATTGGTCCCTGGCCTTTGATTTTTGACATTTCTTTCTCCAGCTCCCTTCCTGTAATTGCTCCTGCCACCAGTGATTTTCAAAGAATTGTGTCCCTTCATGCAGGAGTCTCCTTTAAGTTAGTTTCTTTTGAAGGAGGGCCTTCCATGCTTTGACATCTGTTACATTTCTTGAGGAAAGCTTTCAGGAAGTTTTTGAAACACTTCCTTTGAGACCTTTCATTCAAGGTGTCTTCCTTGAGCTAGATAAACATAATTTAATTTGACAATCAGACCTCCTAAGCCTGTGGGTGGCCTTGATGCTGTTACTGTTAACTGCTTCAAGGTTGCTGATGTTAGTACACCAGTCTCCACAGTTGATGCAGAAAATCCATCTCAGACTACATCGATGGTACTTCTCAAGGGTCTTGATGTGGTGTCCAAGTCTTGAAGCCATATAGAAGGGTCGGAAGGATGACTGCCTTATACCCAAGGATCTTGGCATCAGCACAGATGTCACAGTCATTGAAGACTGTCATCCTTAGACATCCTATGGTGCCACTTTCAAATTGGATGTGATGTTGAATCTCCACATCGACGTCAACCTTGGATGAGACGTAGTTTCCCAGGTGGGGGAAAACGTTCTATGTTTGGGTGGGTTTCTGTCTTGATCTTAATGGAAGAATGGACTGGAACTTGACCTGAGAAAGGTTGATAAAGAACTGGAGTCATCCAGTTCTTCAGTATGTATCTATGAAGGCATTAAAATGATGCTTGAAGATTCTGTTCCAAAAGAGCAGAGATGACATTGTCATCTGCATACTGAAGCTCCACAAATGAGGTTAGTATTGTTTTCTTCTTGAATTTCAACCAGTTGAGGTTGAAATATTTAGATCGCCTCCAAGTGAAATGAGTTGTGTTTCCTTTGAGGAGTGCTGATTTCACCTTCAGTATTTCTCCTTTTCAAATTTTCAAACTTTCTTCATGGTTCTTGTTCTGAATAACATATCACTCACTCATAACTCTACTAAAGGAATGTAATAATTTTTAACTCTATTTCAAGTTTCTGATTGTTTAGCTCAGTTGGTTGGGTGATTAGCGTGTGGTGCGGGATGACACCAACAATGTGGGTCCAATCTATATACTGGATGTAGTTGATCTGCTTCTGGCCCTGTGGTTGATGTGGGGTGCGCCTTTCAAACTGTCTGACCAATTTCTCTAATGGAGAGACATGTTTATAGTTCATTGAACTATTGCTAATTACAGTTTCAATTACTAACCCAGCTATTCCAATGGCCAGAGAGTCATTGCAGCTGGGCAGAATGCACTTATGCTTTGGAATTCTGCTGGTACAGCCTTATTCTTATAAGTTTATGTCCCTGTGACACCACTGTGTACATCTGGTGTTGTAACTCATAACCACTTTGCGGCAGTTTTTAAAAAGGTTTGTGGCTGGAATTTGGGCATTGCTGGCTAGACCAACATTTGTTGCCCATTCCTAATTGCTCTTGAGATTGTGAATTGCTTTATTGAACGCCTTGAGGTGTAGGTGAAGTGATTTTATACCTTCTAACTCTGATCTAATTTAGGTTAGGAATATTTTCGTGATAACTTTTGTGCAGCCAGTTCAAGCTAGTCAATCCTGCAAATGTTTAATGTTGTTTATAGAATTCACATAGCCATCTCACTACAGAGGGGCCTGCCTGAGAATATTACTTTCTTTTAAATAGCCTGTTAATTGTAATTGGTATTAATATGCAGTAAACCTCCCAGATATTTTAAGGGTTCTGAGATTTCTCTCTCTGGAATATATAATTCTCCACTTAAGGAGTCTATAGAGTGTAGGGTTTGTTTCATTTGTAACAGAAAAACATTAGTGAATCAAGCTACGAATTTTAGTATTTTGTTAACAAATTCACAAATAATACACTTTAAGTGGCTAAGTGTACTATTGTGCCAAAATCTACACAAACATATCATACCAAATCTAATATGATCCAGCTTAATGTTTACAATTATTCCAGAATATCATAGAACATCTAAGAATAACTAAGAATATCTACCAATGTCTAAGAATAGAATGCCTTTTGACGTTTAAAGTAAACTTTTACCTTAAAGTGATGAATGAGTAAGGTGTCATCTCCTAATAGGAGAAAATATTTCTCACCAGATACTGTCCCGTAGGTATACTCGCAGTGCTGTTAGGAAGGCAGTACCAAGACTTTGATCCAGTGACCATGGAGGAATGAAGCGAGAGTTCCAAATCAGAAGGATCGGTTGCTTGGAGGGGAACTTGAGGTGATGATGTTCTCATGCATCAGCTGCCCTTTTCCCTCAAAGTGGCAGAGGTTGTGGGTTTGCAATGTGCTACTGAAGGAGCCTGGGTGAATTGCTGCAGTATACCCTGTAGCTGGTAGATTTTGCAGCCACAATACATGAGCAGTGGAGAGAATGATTGATTGTTAAACATGGGTTGATCAAGTGGATTTTAATCCTGGCTGCCTTGAGATTCATCATTGTTGTTGTAGCTGCTCTCATCTGAACATGTGGAAAATATTGTCTCTCATTCCTAATGTGTTTTGCAGGTGAAGGATACGCATTGGAGAAAAGGTGGTGATTTACTTGCTGCAAAATTCCTAGCTGTTGACTGGTTCTTCTATCTACATTATTAATATGGCTGGTCCAGTTCAGTTTCTGGTCAATGGTAATTCCAGAATATTGGTGTTGGGCCATTCAGTGATTGTAGTGCTGTTGAACATGGAGAGATGGTTAGAATTTCTCTTGCTTGAGATGATCGTTGCCTGGCACTTACGTGGTGAAAATTTTACTTGCCATTTATCATCTCATACCTGGATGTTGTTGAAATCTTGCTCCATGTGGACAGAATGCTTCAATAACTGAGCAGTGCAAATGGTGTTTAACGCTGTACAATCATCAGCAAATATCTCCAACTTCTGGTGGAGAGAAGGCCATTAATGAAGCAACTGAAGATCATTAGGCCTAGAACACTGCCTTGAGAAACTCTGATCGTAATGTCCTGGAACTAAGATGATTGGCCTTCAACCACAACTATCATCCTTCGTGCTAGAAAAGACTCCAGCTTGTGGAGAATTTCCCTTTAATTTCCATTGACTTTAGATTTGCTCAGCGCACCTTGATACTATATTCAGTCGAATGCTGCTTTGATGTTAAGGGAATCCACACTCAACACCCCTCTTGAGTTCAGCTTTTTTATTCATGTTTGGACCAAGACTGTAATGAGAGCAGCACTGAGTACCTCTGATGGACCTCAAACTGAGTGGCTGAGAGTTTTACTTTTATTACTACTGCTTTACTGTATTTGTTTCATTGGTTCCACCTGAAGCATGTCAGTGGCCTGGGGTTTGCCCGCCGCGGCAACTTGTTCATCTTGTGGACAGCTGTCCACAAACTTCTAGCTTCTAACCTCTCATGTTTTATCTTCTAAGATTTCTCTTGCTGGTAAGGAGAACTAATGTTTGCTTCATTAGTAAAACACAAGAAATAAAAGCATTCCTCTCATTACCACAGAGACTAGGAAAATGTGTGACTTCCACCAAGACCAAGGAGGCCCTGTGCCTCCAAGTGTTACCCACATCAGAAGAACTTGATTCTTCCTGATGTTAATCATCAGGTTTGAAGCAAGAAATCACAAACATGTCGGCTGTTCTCCAATTTATGTTGCCTACCTTGTTTTACCACCACCTCTTAATTTTAACAGAGGATCCACTAAAATGTGTGTGGTCATGACCTGTCTACGACTTAAGAAATGCCTTATATCTGGACCTCAAGGATGGCTTTACAACTTAATTGCTAATAAGCCCATGTTCATTGTTTACTTCCCGGTTCTCGGTTTTGAACATGGAAAGTCTGAACAACATACAACACCTTGAGGTTGCACCAGGCTAGAAGCGGCCAGTGGCCGTGTAAATGGAACAAATAAAATTGTGCTGTAGTTTCTGGTGGCATCGCAACCATTTATACTATCAACTAAAGCTGTAGATGGAATGCTAACCTCTGCGTCGATCTGTAACTCCTTCCCAGCCATATAAATGAGCAAATTGGTATTCACTGCCTGAACTCTCGTTTGGGAATTTTCCAGCAGCTTGCACCATATTTCCATTACAAATTTTGAAGCCAAACTGTCACTCCTGCAGTTTTACAGTGCACTGTTCCCGTTACTCCTTATGTCATTTCTCCTCCATGGTGACGTAGATTACTTTAGCAGTCTCAGAGATATGCTCTATTCCACTTCATGTTGTCTAACTTCTAAGGCAAAATGTTCTTTTTAAATGTTCCTGTATTACAAAATACTTAAGTGATTCTTATTAGTGGAGCTCATACTTGTTCAGATAGTGTCTGTCTCTGGAAGCACATTATAGATTACCACTTTTATTGAGTCTATTTATTGTTGGACATTAATGCTTTCTCAAACAGCTTTTGTGTCTCTGACATCTGCTGCCAAGCATTCTTAATCAGAAGTTTAGACGTTAATTCTCTTATCCCCAAGATACAGCATTTGTTTTTTTGTCTTTGTCATCCTACTCCTGGGTAGAAAAAAATCAATTCTCTGACTAAATTTGTATCCACACTACAGGTGACAGCTGCCAGCTCTTGACAAGAGAATTTTTAGAGGAATTAACCCTAAAGTGGCAGATTTACTCTAGTTCTCATGTCTGCTGTTTATCTACATTAATCTAAACTTATGCTAAGATATCTCACATGTTCTGGCTAAACCTTCCTTCTTTCTTTGTCAAGGTGTGTCCAATACTGAGAACGACTGTGCTTTTGAGCCAGATTACGCTGTGCCGACCCTCCCAGTTTCTGAAGGAATGCAGCACATACGGATAATGGAAGGGATCTCCCGCTCTCTCCCCTCCTCCCCTCTGCTCACACACCAATCTATTAGTGTCCGCCTTCAACCTGTAAAGAAAATAACAGGTAAAGTGACAGTTTATTCATTAATGCAAGGTAACAAGATGCAATTTGAACCTGTAAGTTTGCACCATGTAGAATTGAGTAATATCTGTACTGTATCTATTTTAAAAATGCATTTTTACGAATAGCAAGTGGGTCTTTGAATTTTTGCATTAACTAATGGCCTTACTTGCTGAAGCATGGTACTTGATTCATATGTGGCATAATTTTCTAAAACAATAGTTAAGGAAATATTTCCCATAACTGGTTACTGTTCTGTTGTATTTCATTCTCCTACCTACCTACAGTAACATCAGTTTGGCAGTTAGCCAAAAAAGTCTGCTTATAAAATATTTGCATAAACATGTAAAGCTTGCATTTGTATAGCATCCTCGACCACTGGATTTCTTCCAAATCACTTTACAGCCAATGAGTTATTCTTTTGAGTTTTAGTTACCGTTGCATTGTAGGAAATATCATAAATATAAGAACCATGTGCACAGACTTCTATTAATCATTAGTTCTGGCATTGGACGAAGATTGGAGTTAAGTCCAAACCAGTCCGTATTGGAATCTGCAACACTTGTTTGTGACCAGCGTGAATTCATATAGTGTGTGAATTTAATGTGCACTCCTCATTGAAAGCTCTAAATATAGTGGTAATTCTGTTTGAATGTCCATTCAAATTTCATGCTGTTCGTCACTCATAATTGGGATATGTTGCTGTTCACAATTCAGTAATTAGATGCAGCATTACTCAGTCAAGTGGAATTCTATTTTGAGGCAGTAACACAACATATGTGCAACCTATCATCAGACAGAGTGATAGAGCACTTGGGCAAGAAGAGTGTCAGCATAGCTTTTTCAAGGCTACACCATGTCTGATTAATCTGTTTATTTTTTTGAGGAGGCCAAATGGAAAATGTCACTAATTTTGTCCATTGCCTGCCTTGAAGGAATTTGATAAAGTTGCACAGAGGCGGTTATTATCAAAAACGAAGTAGCCCAGAATGGGACATAGCCTTGTGACAGGGTCAGTAATTCATTGTGAGATAAGGGACAGAATAGGATCAGGGGTCTCTGACCAGTGAGATGTCTAAAGTGATTTGCTCCAGTCTTCCGCTTTGGAACTGAGGATCACAAATCAGAACATTTTTGTAATGTTAATAGATTTGAAGCTGTGCTGGAGCAGAGGGATTTTGTGTCAATGTGCAAGGGTCAGAAATAGCATACAGCCCAGGTAGAAAACGTAATGAAAATGGCTAATCAAGTTAGGACCGGTTGCATAATTTTGGCTAATCAGCCTTTTTAAGAAAGTTTATGAATGATCTAGTTCAAACTCTCGGTAGATACGCAGAAAAAGAAAATCAGTGGTGGGCATAACCTTAAAATTAAAGTTAGTCCAATTAAGAGTGTAATCAAGAAATGATTTTTCATATAGTGTAAAGCTTGAACTGTCTCCTCAAAAGGATGAAAATCATGGGCCAATTGATGTTTTTAAGACTGAAATCAACAGATTTTTATTAGTTACTCTTGGGATATATACCTGGTTGGGTGCGGATGTGGGAGGTGGGTGGGTGGAGATGTATCATGATCTAATTACGTGTCATAACAACAGGCTTGAAGCTGAATGCCCTACTCTTGTTCTTATGTTAGGCTAAAGCCCATTCTTAGACATACTTGGTTTACATTTACCCTATGCTACAAAGTGCATTTTAACTTACTTCACATTCTTACAGTTTTAATTGTATTCATAGACCGAGAACGCTGTTGAATGCTATTATAAATTCTTCTCATGACACATGGGTCAGTTTAAACATCAGATGATTTGGGGGTGGATTTTTAACCTTAACACACTAGCCAAATGACAGGTAGATGCAAAACTTTTGTTTGTGTCAAGAAAAATATGATATTTTCCCTTTAGTCAGCATAGGGGTCTAATCCAAATGTGACATGTAAAACCTCGCCAGAAGGGTGAAATTTTTCTTTCTAGTGTACGATTTGATTATGTCTGAGGTTTAGTTTTCAGACATGGCCTGTTAGTGGCTGCTACTTTCCGATATAACCTTATATGGAACATATCCTGACTAAGATCATCTAATTGTCTGACAGATAACAGATTATTTGAGACTAATTGATCTCGTACTTCTGCTCAGTTCTGGTTTCTTTGTTGCAATTTACCTGAAATTGATGTAATGGCATCAAAGTTGTTGAATTTTGAGCTCAAATTATGTAAAGCACAAATCAAATTCTAGAACACACTTATGCTAGTTTTTAGACATATCACTTAGAAGGGTGTCCTTACTGGACACAAAATTAAGATACCATCAAGATGAAGTAATCACAATCTCAATTTTTGGCTAATTGTATAGTTATAGGCTTTCAAAGTTGCTCTAAGGATTAGGTTTTAGTTATCCATTTCACATGTTTATGAGAAAATTGGTAGAAATAAACATCAGCCCTTTGAGCCTGTTCCACCCACTTACATGAGGCTGATTTTTACCAAGCACACTTAAATTTGCCTTTTCTCACTCACTGCAGCAATAGTGTTTACCCGTGCCCTCTTCTCCTTGAGACTGCACTTCTCTAGCTGCCCTCTCTTGTCTCAGCTTCTCAAACTCCATCATAGACCAAAAAAGCAAAAAACAATACAGCACAGGAACAGGCCCTTTGGCCCTCCAAGCCTGTGCTGACACATTTTGCCCTTCCATATTAAAACTGGCTTCACTTGCAGGATCTGAATACCTCTATTCCCTTCTGTTAGAGAGGAGGAATGGCCAAACCCCTTTGATTATTAAACCAAAACACATTCCCAATCTGTTATGACGGGAGTAGAGAGTCCCTTCCAATAATTACCCCCGAAATACCCAGAGAAGCTCGCCTTATCCCTCATACACTGTTAAGAGTGGTTAAAATAAAGAAAATCCCTGATTCCCTTTATAAATAACAAGAAAATTTATTTATTTAACCCTAACAATGAACAAATTAACAGAGTTACTAACAAACCGAACAATTCCCACCTACGTCCTAACTGGTCTGAAATCTACTGGAATGCTGTTCAAATAAACACAAGTCCCACTTATATTAAACCCAATTAATAAGACAACGATAAATTGAAATTTAATCTCTCTGAGTTCACACCGACTGTCTTCTGGAACACTCTGCCTTCTCCAGCCTTTCTCCTATCGATTTCACATCATAAACATCTGTCTTCTGCTGATTCTGCTGTCAGGGATGTTTTTCTCTGTAATTACTTCTGTGAGGACTTTTAGCTAGAAATGCTGTGCTACTTTTTAATTAGATGGTGTTTTCTCTGAGAGCTAAATGTGGTCTCTTGGCAGTTGGCTCTCCCTGATTTTCCAAATGCCATCATTTTTATACCCGTGATAACATAGCACTATTTCTTGAATAACACCATCAGATTTAAATTTAATAGGATTTTAGTATCTGAAGACTTGGTTTAGGTTGATTGGCTAAATTTGAAAAGACTTGTTGTCTTCGTAAAAATGCTGCGTGGCTGTTCGACACAAAATATTTCCATTCGGGCGTTGTCTCTGTGCACCTGCATTTCAAGCTGTTATGACAGACATCCAATTTAACTCTATGCACTGAAAAAAGCCCATCTTTTAAAGGGACGGCGCACTGCTTTTCCTCACTCTCACTTTTTACCAATAAATTCTAACTTCTGGCCTTCTAATTCATGAATATTCTACACAACTTCATAACACTTCCTATTCCTGTATTCATCCAGGTGTTTCTTGAATGCTGCTATTGTGTCTGCTTCAGGATGTTGCCTGGAATGGAGGGAAGGTCTTACAAGGAAAGTTTGAGAGAGCCAGGGCTTTTCTCTTTAGAACGACGAAGGATGAGCGGTGACTTGATAGAGGTGTACAAAATGATCAGACGTATAGATAGAGTGGACAGCCAGAGGTTTTTTTCCTAGGGTGGAGGTAGCTATTATGAGGGGCCATAGTTTTAAAGTGAGTGGAAGTAGATATAGGGGAGACGTCATAGGTAGGTTCTTTACTTGGAGAGTGGTCGGGGCGTGGAATGCATTGCCGGAGAGGGTAGTGGAGTTGGCCTCATTAGGGGCGTTTAAGCGGCTACTAGATAGGCATATGGATGATAGTATAGGGTAGGGGTGGAGGTTAGGTAGACCTTAGGTTTAGGGTAAAAGTTCGGCACAACGTCGTGGGCCGAAGGGCCTGTACTGTGCTGTACTGTTCTATGTTCTATGTTCCATCACCACCTCTGGCAGTGCGTTCCAGACACTCACCACCCTTTGTGTGAAAGACATGCCTTGCATATCTCTTTTAAACACTGTCCCCACCCCTCCCCGTCCCCCATCTTGAACCTGTGTCCAGTAGTAATTGACCCTTCCACCCTGTGAAAAGCCGAATATTTTCCACTCCATCCATGCCATTCAGAGTCCTTTAAACTTCTATCAGGTCGCCCCCTCAACCTCCTGCATTACAGGGAAAACCAACCCAGTCTGTCCAACCTTTCTTCATAGCTAAAATCCCTCATACCAGGCAACATCCTGGTTAACCTTTTCTGTACCCTTTCTGAAGATCCACCTCCTTCTGGTAGTGTGGTGACCAGAATTGTACGTAATATTCCCTGTGTGGCCTAACTAAAGTTCTATAAGGCTGCAGCCTAATTTGGCTATCCTTAAACTCAATGCAAGCATGCCATAGGCCTTTTTTTAAACTACCTTATGTACCTGTGCTTCCACCTTCAGTGATCTGTGGACCTGCACACACCCATCTTTGTGCAAATTAATACTTCTAAGTGTAATTTCCCCATGTACTTGACCTTCCAAGATGCATCGCCTCACATTTGTCTGAATTAAACTCCATCTGCCATTTTTCTGCCCATGCCTTCGACTGATCTATATCTTACTGTATCCTCTGACAATCCACCTCACTATCTGCAACTCCACCAATCTTTGTATCATCAGCAAACTTACTAATTAGACTATTATGTTTTCTTACAGAACATTTATGTGACTGTGGCAGTGGCTT